ACCTAATCCACTATTCAAAAGAAAATATTAAAGACTGCTAAGAAAGATGATACATCATTGATAGAAATTACATCTAAAGAAGAAATAGAAGCTGTCATTTATATATATACAGTAAACACATGTGTGTAAGATACACAATGCTGCTCTTAAAGCTGCTCGCTTAAAAAGATAGGTTGATAACTATACTCCTCTTTTTAAAAAGTTTCTAGTTGCATTGGACCAAACATGACTCCATTGTTTTCACTGCGAAAGGACAATGGATAGCAATTATCCAGATGAACACCATTCTCAGTACAAAATATATTCTTATGCTCATTAGCTTAGAGCTATGCCTCTATATATAATTAAGAATGTATTATTATTATTTACAGGTAGAAGTTCTTTTTAAATTAGAAATTTAAAAATATAAAATGCCTATTTAGTCTATCTTTCTGTTCTCAACCAGATGTCTACTGGAAATCTACAATCAGAACATGAATTAAAAAGGATCTCACACCTATGTTTTCCTGGTACTGGGAGATAGTAAGCTACATTATTGAAAGGAATATACAGCATTGCAATTAGAAAATTTTCCCAGCTTCTACATTTTGGATTAATATTTCCATCAAACCATCCACCCGAGAGCTCTTTTCTAGTCAATCACCAACAGAGTCATAAATACAAAGTTAGAATTTAATTTTGTTTTAATAATGTACTTTTTTTAAAAAAAACATGCATGTGCTTTATTAATGCTGACTCCCTACTTTAGCGAGATTTATAACTCTGTTTTCCTTCATTGTTGTAGTCACCCTACTAATCATTTGATGTCATTAAGAACCATGCCCAAATCATAAATCCTCAGTTCAGGCCATTCATACTCAAGTCACACCAATTCCAATCTAGTTCCTTAGGGAAATACTATATTTAATCTACTTACTCCAAGAAGATTCCTATATTCCTATTCTTCATTTCTGTTCTTTTACCAGTTACAGATTTCTAATTCTGATCCCATGACTACTAAATTTGTTCAGAAATACATAGTAAAAATCACAGTCCTTTGGAAAGCTATGTAAAGCAATGGTCTATTGAGTCACCACTTCCATAAATTGTTGACGTTTTCAAAAGATTTTGAGAGATAGGATTTACCTTTGTTTACTTTCAGCAAAAGTTACCCTTCTATATGATTGTAACTTTCTATCAGCTTTATTAAACAAGCTATTACGTTAACCAATCTGTACTCCTTCCTTGGAGCAGCCATATTTCCCCTGATACAGTGAATAGCAATAGCACTTAGATTTATATACCACTTATACAGATAGTCCTCAACTTATGACCAGAATTGAGCCCAAAATTTATGTTACTAAATGAGAAATTTGTTAAGTGAGTTTTGCCCCATTTTATGACTTTTCTTGCCACATTTGTTAAGTGAACCATTGTACTTGTTAAATTAGTGACCCAGTAGTAAGTGAATTTGGTTTTTCCCAAATTGACTTTGCTTGCCAAGAAGGTCGCAAAAGGGGATCACATGACTCAGGGACACTGCAACTGTCATAAATGTGAGTCAGTTGTCAAGCATCGGAATGTAAATCAGGTGACCATGGGGATGCTGCAAAGTTATAATTCTGAAAAATGGTCATAAGTCACTTTTTTCAGTGGCATGATGTAAAGGCATATTATATATTATAAGTTATTGAACTAAGCAGTGTCTCTGATGATTGGAAGGGAAACCATTCAGGTACACCATTTGCATGACTGGATTCCACAAAAGAACAATGAAATATAGATGAAATATACCATATGAGTACAGAAGATAATATTAACTCTACGTTTTTTTCACTGCTTGCTTAGTATTCAACAAGCTTTTCAACATAAGTTATTGAACAAACTAGGCATTCTGCAATTTCAAAGAAATCTTGTGTGTCTAAAACAAGGAAGAATTTATATGATAATGAACATGGTCTTACATTTTCCTGCAATAATCATTACATGATTACATATTGTTTTAGATGCATAATATTATAATTTCAAGCTTTATATTTCTCTGATATGTTTTTATACTATAGCTTCCTTTCCATGAAAACCATCATAGTTAGAGGCAAACAGTTTCTGGCAGCAAGCACTAAAGGCAATATTTATTGCAACTGTGAAGCAGCCAATGATAATAGATCCAAGTCATAGTAAATGTCATGTGACTTCTACTTACAGAAATCCTGCTTAGTTTCTAGAAAGAAACCCTTAGGAACCATAAAACACATTAAGGTGATAGAAAACAAGGGTTGGTTGCCAGATGCTAAAATGTATATGCACTCCGGCAGAATTAGTGGTTAAATTTATATATTAAAAGACAACATTGTTACACAAACTGCTTACGTGAATATAACTAACAACCACATACATTTAAAATGTGCATTGAGATTTCTCAGTTAGGATAACAAACATTTTGCCAAGGAAAAATATCCAACAGGGTGAAGGAAGGTTAACTTATAAAAGTTATTCCTGTACCATTCAAAGTTCTTCAAATTAAAAGCTGTATCTAAAATATCTTAGAGACAAGATCACTTACAAATTAGAAAACAGAGGAAATGACTTGTATAATAGAATATAAAGTATTACAAAGAATACGTCCAAGCCTGCACTCATATCCAGCACAAAATCCAAACATTTGTCGACCAGTTTCATCAGCAAAATAAAACAAAATAACCAATTAAAACTAAACAACTGAAAGAAATACAGAAGCTCTGAGAAGGAGAGATAAATTGTATTATTTGAACTGTAATGTTTGCTACTACAGAACATCTCCACTGTAATTCTCTCTGCAAATTAAACTAAAGGGGTTGACATTTGCCTGGCTAAAGGTTATATTATATTGGTTCCCAAGACATCTAAGGCCAGCAGATATATAACATTTATTCTGTGATTCAACTTTACAATTCAGATTTTCCATTTTCATTTCTGATTTTATTTTCAAAGTATGAAATGATATTTATACATTTCCAACTGCCACTGTACATTTACAGCGAGCGAATCTCTATATATTTAGTTATTTAAAACACCTTCCTTGATGCTATATATCATCCATCTGCTTACCTCGGCAAAGATGTATAGTATTTAATTCAAGAGTTTTATATTTGAGTAGTTGTGTATCAGACTACACTATGAGCTAATTGAGACTTAATTCCTCAGACAAATTATAGATCTTTCCTAATGAAACCTTAAGTTATGTCTGCAACTGATTCTAATTCCCTCTTGTCATTTAGTCCTACCCAATTCAGGTAACAATTCCAGGATCTTAAACATTAAGAACATAATATTAAACAAGGTGAAAGGGAAGATAGGTCTTTATCATTAATCAGGTCAGCATGTTTCGATAAATAAAAATGCATCTGCTGATATCTTTTAACTATATCCAAATAGACTTACATATGTTTGAATATACAGTAATTTGTAAAAAAAAAAAAAAAAAAGTGCCAGTTGCTACATAACTAGATCTACTACTTTTCCTGCTTCTATTGCACTGCAATCTCCATAATCTATCACAATTTATTAACCATCGCAGCAACAGAAGACGTCCAAAAGCTGGAAAAAGTCATTTAAAAATGACTCAAGAGTGCACTGCCAAATTCTACTAGATCATATAGAACACTCCACAGCCTGAAGTTTGAAAAAAATGAGGAAAGCTGGAGGACAAAGTATGGATGTGTTGTTAAAGCAAGTAGTTGTGAAATGGACTTTGACTGGGAATTGAGGAATTTTATTCTTATTTACAAATCTTTGCAAGCAGATTGCCTTTGCCGGTTTTTGACAGAAACCTAAGAAACATGCCCACAGAACATAATTTCGGTCCTAAGAATGGAATCTGGCATCCAGGCAGGCCCACTTAAATTCAGCATAATCCCTCAGATTTAGATTACCTGCTTTATCCTAACCCTGCCTCTAGCAATATCCCTTCTCTGCTAAAGACAGGAAATCTAACAAATTTGTCCCGCTCAAAGCTGCGACCTCCCCGACCTCTTAAAATAACATCCACAAACAGAAAGAAGTGAAATTAAGTAACCACCCTCGGATAAGAAGCCAAGGCATTCTAGCGGCGGCGTCGCCGGCTGTCAGGAAAGGAAGTGTCTCCTAGCCAGAGAATTGCAGTGACTAAACCTAACACCCAAGTTATCGGGTGGGGAAGGAGAGGGGGGGAGGGGGAGAGAGAGGGAGAGGGAGAGAGAGGGAGGGAGAGCGAGAGAGAGTGAGAGTGGGAGAGAGAGGGGGAGAGAGAGAGAGAGGGAGGGAGGGAGAGAGAGTGAGAGAGGGAGAGGGGGGGAGAGAGAGGGAGCGGGAGAGGGAGGGAGGGAGAGAGAGGGAGAGAGGGAGAAAGAGAGAGAGAGAGAAAGAGAGAGAGAGAGAGAGAGATGCCCACACATGGCTTTACATGAAGAGATGGGGAATAGCAACTCTCGCTGCTGCTGCTGTTGCTCGCCCGCCCGCCCCCCGCAACTCACCAGTGGGTAGCAATGGGGAAAGCATTTAAGCGCTCCCCCGCCCCGCCAGTCTCAAACCCCCCTCCCGAACCCGGAGGAGGTACTCCTTTCTCTGCTCTTAGTCATCCCCAAGAAAGCCAAAAGACTGCGCCGCCGCGTCTCGATCCCATCCTCTCCGGAGCCTCGCAACCAAAAGCCAGTTTGAGAGGAAGCCAAGCGAGCATCCTCAGCTCGCCAACCCCGTGAAAAGCCAAAGCCAAAGGCAAGGGCGGGGCGGGCTTGTCCCCCCCTCCCACCCACCCCCTGCTGCCAAAGAGGGAGACACTAGTTGATTTCTGGCGGCTCCAGGCAAGACTCGAAAGTGTAACAAGTCTGGCGCAGTCCGGTCCACTCCTGCCGCCGCCGCTGCTTCGGCCACAGTTCCCCAGGAGTTGGGGCAGTCCGGGTTGCGGGAAGCGGGGCAGGAGGACCGGGCTTATCCCGGGCGATCCAGACCAGAGGGTGGCTTGCCTTCTTTTCCTAGCCACGCCACCCAGCTGGCGGTTCTCTCACCTCCTTGAGCTCCTTGGCCACGTCCTTCAGGTCCCCCAGGACTAATTCCAAATCGTCCACGATTATCTTGATCTGTTCCTTCACCTTGGCTTTGGAAGCTGGCGGCACCCCTTCGGCTGGAGAGGACACGGACGAGGAGGTGGCGGAGGAGGAGGATGTGGTCCCCTTAGACTTGGCTGACATTCTTTGGGGGAGCGCCGGGAGAAGGGAGGGGGAGGGAAAGGACGGCAGGCAAGTCAGGAGAGCAGACTTGCCACGAGCGATGGACGACACTGCCGGTCCCCGTCCCTCTTCCGAGCTCCGGAGCTGCTGCTGCAGCCGCTGCCTCTGCTCTGTTTGCACATCTTGGGCTCCGGTCCCCGGGGCGTTGCGCTCCCGGCGCGCGCCGGCACTGCCATCAACTGCACTGAGCGAAGGAGCCCCGGCTGCAGGCAGGCGAGCAGACGGGCGGGCGTTGCGCCTGCGCTGGTCTCCCTCCACCCACCCCCCCTCCACCCCTCACACAGATATGCAGACACGCAGGGCACTCCGCTCGCCCAGGGCTCCGGAAAGAGGCGGGCGGGCGAACGAGCGAGCGCCGGCGGCCCGCGTGGTTATTCTCCAAGCCCCCGCCACATGGTGCGCTAAAACTCTCAATTCGCTCCAATCCTTCAGACCGGGTGAAAGGAGAATATGGAGAGTGAGGAGAGTCGCTTTTTGCAAACTTTATCCCCGCCCTGGACCTAAAAAAAAAAAGAAGAAGAAGAAAAAAACCCGCTAGAAACGCCCCTCCCCCGGGATGGTTTGGCCCAGACTCTGGAAAGGCGTCAGGAAAATGTTTATTTTCTCTAGTGACTGCGGCGGGAAAGAGGTGTAAGTGCGTAAGAGCCAAAGGAGGCGGAGAAAGAAGGTGGGGATAATTTTTCCACAAGACTCGCTTTTTCTCCCACCCCCGTCCCCTCCCCTCCCCTCCTCTCGTCTCCTCGGAATGATTCCCCATTTGCTTGGCAGGGCGCAGTCCCCAATTCCATCAGAAAGCGCGTTTGGGTACTACGGCGGGAAGACACTTCGGAGCACCCCTTTGCGTCGCGCCGGTTCTTGTTTATTCGGGGTGAGGGAAAGCTTCCCGCGTCAATCAAGCAGCAAAATTGGCGACGAGATTGTTGGCTTTGATTGCTCGGGATAAATGGGTTTGTTTTAACCCACATAGTCGCCTTTTTATTTATTTTATTTTATTTTAAAAGAACTGAAAGGGGCGGCGGATGGCGGTGTGCTCCGGGCGCGTGCCACGCGGTGCCTTTTGGCGAGGGAAAGAAATGCGCCTAACTTCTCGAATGAGAGCTTTATGACGATGCTTGATTTCTGCTGAACAGAGAAGGAGTGTGTTAATACTAAATTATGACATAACAGCTACTAGGATTCAATTACCTTTATTGCAGCGAGAGGGAGAGAGAGGGAAGGAACCCCTTGGAATGTAACATTGTGAAATGATTTTATAGGAACGGGTCGTAATAAATAAGGAAGACAAACTGGGCAGGCTAGCAGCCGTTCAGTCGGTTTCGGATTTCATAAGAGATTGTATAAAAAAGAAACGTTTGTACGGACCTCCTGATCCAATAAGGCAGTTGAACGGGGATCAAACGGAATAAAAGGGGAAACCAACTGGATTGTTAATAGAAAACCAGAACAAAACTTACATAATATAATGATTATACACAACATTGTTGATTAAAAACGATGTCAAGTTATTAAACAAGTTTAACTCTATTCCAGGTAGTGTATGAGCTGTCAATAGGATGCCTTTAAGATGAACACCTGAAGTGGTTATTAAATCTTTCAGAAGCAAAACAGAAATATATTAGGGACTAATTTCAACAAGTGGCACAAACAAATAAACAAAAAATGTACCTGCCTTAAGAACTGAGCCACAAAAGCTGAAGAGTTCAGTGTTGCAAAACTGTATTAACAAATGATAACTCTGCCTTTTTTTTCAGCACTCCAATACATAAGTGAGGAAGGATAGTTGCCTTATTATGCAGATTTAATTTGTGACCATCTAATCATAATTTATTTTCTCATATTGTCTCTAACAGGATATATGTGATTTACTTAGGAAATTTATCGTACGTGCTTTTAAGCTTTACCTAAGTTTCTAGTAAACCCACTATTTTCTAGTAAAAAATTCTATGTTGAGTTGAGTAATCCAAAGCAATATAAAATGATTTCTGAGGAGTGAAAAACATTAAACTATTAATGATCAAAAGTTTTGTTGTTGTGGTTGTTTTATTATAGACAGGTTGTGGAGACCATCCATACAATGATCAGTAGTAATATTCACTAAAAAATCTTCTTCCGCTTTCTGCTGAAAATTAAAAATGATATATTTTGATTCATCATAGTTTCTGTATATTTCCTATTTTCAAGTTATTTCATGTATTCATCAATAATGTCATTTCTTTAAATATCTTTACACTCATTCTGCTTTGCTTCCACGTTCTAAAATTAGTCAATGTGTTGTTTTTTTTAACTCAAGGCAATCTGTTAGATATCTTTATCTAAGCACAGAAGGTACAGGAAGAACCACGTAATCATATCCATCTATGGTTACATTTACAAGTTAATCTCACAAAGACATTCACAATTTGTTTGACATATTTAGGTACTGCATAATTTTTTAAAAAAACTTCCAGACTTCAAATCAGCAATTAAAAAATAATAATTTATAACAGTTGAGCATACATTACATAAAATATATGAAACGAATAAGGAAAAAAAACTAATAGAAAGAAAGAACCAGGTGAAGTAAAGATCACTGCATCTCCAACTTAAACTTAAAAAGGCTGAGCTTGACATCAATGCCACCGTGAATTCTAGAGATGCTTTAGAAGGCATAGAAGTGAGCATGCTGAGCAAAGACTGATGAGTAACTAGGAAAGGGGAAAGAGTAAAAAGCACTGTACAGTCAACAAAGAAATCTTAGATGATCAAAGTATAGCAGCAACAGGGATTTCAGTCATCTGTTCAGTCGCCTGAATTAGGAAGAGAGATCTTTATCTGTTCTCCCATGGCTCAACATCATATTTTCAAGCATCTTCTAAATACACCCACCACCCTGGGAAATCCTCATATACAAGTCATTGTTTTTGCTGCTGTTGCTGTCCATGCAAAAGCTGAGACAGCAGGCACTTAAAAATATCTCGAGTCTGCTAAATAAGTAGTGGTCCTTGAGTTGGAAGCTGTGCATCTAGATTTTATTTCATTCAGTTAATGAAAGCACACTAAAGGGCAAGCAACCATACTGAAAGAAGAGAAGAGAAGGTTGTCCAAATTGTAGCAAAAGCTAATGCACTCAAGAACACAGTAAGACTAGAATACTGTATGGTGTTCTTGAGTTGCTAGGTAAAGTGGAAGTAGCAGAGATATGTCTTATTCTGTGATTTTGTATCCATGGATCACAGTGATGCTCTTGATGAGATAGTTCTGGGGAGGAGGGGAAAGGGGGTGGAAACTTCCAGCACTTCCCAAGTCTAGTAATGGCTACCAAAGATCCTGGCCCACCCCAGTAGATTTGTCAAATTATTTGGCAATAACATCCTTTGGGAAACAACTCACCTAACACTTCTTGAGGCACATGCAGCACTTCATGGCTCTCACCATGTGCATGCTTGATCTCTTCATGCAGCTAGCAGTGGGAGAGCTTGTGATTTTACAAATTGAGAAGTTCAAAATTTTACCTAAGAGTACACAACTTGATGGAAAAGCTGATATGCTGCATGAAATCCATCTCAACTTCCTGATAAAATGACTAGGATAAGGCAAGCAGAAACGATCAAGGCAGATTTGACTAAATTGCACTGAATCTGACAGGCTGGAATCTCAATATAGTACATTAATTTAATAAAGATAACTCATGCAGAGACTGGGGAACTCCCTTAAGATAGCACACTTCTCTCCATGCTGTGGGGCCTGCATAGCATTTTGAATGGAGGTGCTACTGGTCAGAGAGGACTTACACTAATAGGTTTTGCTAACCTTGAAATCTTAAGCCCACAATGTCTTTTGACTGAGAAATAGCTGTACAAAAGAATAGATGCCTGCAGTCATAAACTACAAAAGATACCACCAGCAGACCACTTATTCTTTAGCATTTTTATCCATTTTATCAAGAGACCTGCCAAAAGAAGAAATGATCAACTGACTTTGTTAAATCAGGTTCAGTCTCTTCAAGTTAGAGAATGAGAAAGCTTTTCACAGACCTAAAGCAACTGTGTCAGTGCAAAAGATGCAGGTCATTCATGGCTAAAAATAAGTTGAAGCCTAAGCCCATGGGTACGAGGGGACTGGCAAGCTGTGTCTACTATATAAGAAAACTTATCCACTAAACAAGTGCAAAGGGTTTAGGTAGAGATGAAAACTTTGCTGAACAATTATCATACTTGGGTTTGATGATGTGCCACCACAAGCCGTTCCACCAGAGGTAGAAATAAAGTGCAATGACTGCAGCAATGAAAGCTATATGTCTGCTCTCCATTCAGACTCATGCAAATAGAATATCACCCATGTGCAGACTGTAATTGGATTTGGAACTCTCTCAGTAAGTAATGTGGCCATAAGGTGTGATGTCATACGATCATATTGACTTACAATGACAGTTCCAGCTACTAGGTGAATCCCAAAAGATTGCAATATCCCATGACGACATTACCATCATTTGCAAACCTCTGCCATCTTCCCCATTTACTTTGTTGTCAAAAGCCAGCAGTGAAGGTTGCAAATGGCGATCATATTACCATGGGTTGCTGCAATGTAATTGTGAGCCAGTTGCAAAGTGCCCAAATCACAATCACATGACCATTGAGATAGTGTGATAGCCACAACTACTTTTATACGATAACATTTGTAGCATTTTTAACTATCTCCTCATCTAAAGCAACCAGCAGCTTTTGTGATCTGGAAAAGAGAACTATTGCATTTATATCTGCATCTATGTGTATGTCAAACCCCTATTGTTTGTCTTCTCTATAACTTAATAAAACTTATCCTGGACATTAAGAAAAAATGTGATGATATAAGTTAAATATAAATGCATGATCAGCAAAATTAGAACCATACCTCATGCTTTAACATTATTAACAGCAATCAAATTTCTACATATAATTACCGATGAATGAAAACTTTATTTTGAAAGGAGAAAAGGGCTATAAAACTGATTACAGAAACCACAATTTAAATATAGTTTGTAGACTGAGCCATAATTACTAAATTCATATATTATGCCAGAATTAACCCAAATTATATAATGGCTAAACATGAGTAAATTTAGCAAACAAGTATTATATAGTCCATAAGAATTCCAAATTGGAATTCCCTATTTCCATTTTGCAAATGGAGAATAAAGTTTGGAAAAGTAAATAATATATGAAATTCACATGAGATACTTGACTAAGTGGATTAT